AAGAATTTTATAATTCTTGATATATATGACAAAATTGCCTCTAAAAAGGTAGGGCTAATTTATTCCCACATCAACTGTCTATGAGAATATTCAGACCACCATGTCACCTATATGTCACTGGGTGGATGAATAATATTTCATGTTAATCTGCATTGCCCGGATGTTAGAGATGTTGAAATCTTATCACATATGTACTAGGCATTATATTTCTTTTATATATTTGAGTACTTTTTTATATTTGAGTACTTTGCCTATGTCCTTACACTATTGAATTTGTTTTCTCTTTGAATAATATTTACAACTGGTCTCCCACCTGGGGCCAGCATTTTCCCAGTTATCTTTGGCTTTTAATCTTTAAGATCCACTGGTTCTCCCTTCAGAAACTTGGTAATTCTTTGACTGAACCCTCTCCATTTTATCTTATTTTCCTCGGAGTGTTAATCTCTTTATTGCTTTCCACTTTATCGCTCTCCACTTCTTCCTAAGAGAACATTTCGAGATACCCACTCCACTTTAATTTTCTGAACTTTCAATTCAGTCTTCCATTGCTTCTCATATGGATTTTAATTTAGTGATGGTTTCCTTGCAGTGTTTTCTTCTCAATTAGCCCCCTCCTCTCTGCAGCCTGTTCTCTTTACATCTCATTACATCATCACTCTTAACCTGAAGAGACTCTCTGCTTAAAACAGAAAGGCCAAGTCTTCCTTCAACCTACTACATTCAACATATCTGAAAGTATTGAATGAAAGAATATATTCTTTCAGACATATGTGCATATTTTCTACAATGCTTCTTAATGATTTTAGTAATATCCTTGACCCCTTTATCTTGTGGTAAGCAGAATAACAGCCTTGTGTCTTAATACCAAAAACTTTGAAAATGTTACCTTAACTTGGCAAGAAGGACTTTGCTGATGTGGTTGACTTAGCACTTTCAGGTGGGAGATTATCATGGATTATCCAGGTGAGTTCAGTATAATCACAGAAGTAGGAGAGATGATGGGAGCAGAGGTTAGAGAGAGAAATTTGATGAAGTGATGCTGCTGCCCTTGAAGATGGAGGGAGGGACCAGGAGTTAAGGAATATGGGCCTCTAAAAGCTGAAGGCAAGGAAACAGATTCTTTCTCACAGCCTCCAGAAGAAATGCAGCCCTAGCAACAGCTTGATTTTAGGACTTCTGATCTCCAGAACTGCAAGAAAATGAATTTGTGTTTTCTCAAGCCACCAAATTGGTGGTGATTTTTTATAGCAGCCATAGGAAACTAATGCAAAGGGTACCGGAGATAGATTAATATGATGAACCCCATGATGGGAGACATCTTAGATTGTCTTGGTTGGCCAAATCCAATCACATGTGCACTTATCAGCAGTGACTGTATCTGGCTGAAGTCAGAAAGATTTGGAGAAGAGGGCAGAAGACACCTGAGATCAGAGATTTAGTGTGAGAAGGACTCAACCCGCCCTTGATGGATTTAAGATGTGGGAAGAAGCCAAATCAGGGAATGCAGGTGGCAACTGAAGTAGAGAATGACCCCTGGCTGACAGCCAGCAAGGAAACAGGCATCTCAGTCCTACAACCACAAAGAACTGAATTTGGCAACAACCTAAACAAGCCTGGAATTGGATGCTCTCCCAGAGAAATAGAAAGAAAAGGATGGAGCCCCATTGACTTCTTGGTTTTGGCCTTGTGAAACCCGGAGCAGAGAAATCTAGCCAAGACAGCTACGCATCAGACCTACAAAACTGATGTAATTGCTTGTGTTGTTTAAAGCCACTACATTTGTGGTAATTTGTTACAGCAACATTAGCAAACTAATACCCATCTCAAGTTACAAAACTTAAGTCAACCTCAAAAGTAGTTTTTCATGTACTCCAGGAGTTTAGAATATTGGAAGGACAAAAATAAAGTGAGGTTTCCTGGCCGAAAAGGTGAGTGGGTCAGTGTGAGTCCAGCTCAGGGTGTTTTCAGGGCAACTGGGTCGGAGGAGCAGGTAATGATGCATGAGTCACACTCACTTCTGGTAACTAAGAGGCATTTATCTGATGTTGGTCTGCTGGGCTGAGTTAGGATTTGTTTCTTTCACCATGGCTTTCCCCAACCCCTAACATCCTAAACTTTGGGAGTATATGAAAAACTACTTCCTGTTTTTTGTCAGACCCCATAGTCCTTGTGTGTCCATTCCCACCCACTAGAATCTGTGTCTTACTAGTTGGGACCTCGAGTCCCAGGAGACACTTGTGCCCCCTCTCATTTTCCCTACCTCCTGTTCGTTCCTTTTCTAGGAAGACCACAGATTCTAACAAATGTAGAAAGAAAGGCGTCGACTGGGAGGTGGGTCATGTGGGAAGGAAAAAGTGTATTTTAGCTACATCAGAAGACAAAGCCCATAGTAACAGAGAAATATCCACCCTGTTTTCAGCTCTGGGCAGCTGCTGCAGCTCTGAGGCTGGGACAGACCTTGGAGGAGAAGATCTCTTTTAAGCTGGTAGATTTATCCTTGACTCAGCAGCACAACTTCCTTCAGTCACCAACTGAGTTCAGCACCAAAGGTCTTACAGAAATTCCATTCAGCTTCTAAAACAGCCAATAGCCTTGCCATTTAGTGTTATGACAGTTCTCCATTCATGTCCAACACTGTATTTTTCATAGATACTGTGAGGGGGAGACTTAGTCCAAGGGTGCTAGACAAAAAAAACTTTTTAAATAAAATGATTGCTCACCTAATATCAGTGGCAGCACATTTAAATATTAATGAGTATAGAGGTCATACAGGGGACAACGTAGATGATATTAGTATGGATGCACCCAGAAGTGGGTTATTAGAACCTTAGTCAGGTAGGACTAAATGGGACTGAGCCAATACGGGCATTTGACCATCAGGCAACAGAATCCGGGGCAACATAGGAGAAGAGGCAGAGGGTCGTGGTGTGGGCCAACAAGCTGATATTAAATAGAGACAGAGTATTTAAGATCCGGTCCACTCCCAGGGACTGGATCTTCCAGTCCATAAAAACTAGGGGAGTGAGAGCAGGAGGATGATAGAGCTACAAATGCAGAAATGAGCTGAAACCTGGATGAGTGGTGTTAAAGTAATAATAGTAGTAATTATAATAATAACAATAATATGATAGACTAAGAGACCAAAGGTTGAGTGCTATTTTCAACTTTAACTACCAAGCTGAACTTGCAACCCAGCAAAGAGTCCAGACTTTGGGCATGAGACTAAGAAAACATAGGGTAACTCTTTAAAGATAGAAAACCATAAATTGTGTATGTGTCATATTAAGATTGCAAAGTCTCTGAGTGATGCTAAGAGGCTGGCTGTCTCTGGGCTTGATAGTCAGGTAAACACTGGGCTGGTTGGAGAGAGTGTGCTGAACCTGTAAGGTAGCTCTGCTCTGGATACGCTACACCCACCTTGGTACTGAAATGCCTATCTCACCGCTGCTACACACATGATGTGTCAAAGTCAGGTTCATACTACTGTCAGCAAGTTGGGGGGATGGGTCAGTATTGGTCAGCAGTGGGAAGGAAGTTGGTTCAGCCTTTGGAGTGCTTTTGGTGGTAAAGAGAGAGGAAGGGAGATAGAAAATAAGGAAGAAAAGAAATAAGGAGAGAGGGAAGTATGACAGCAGGTAACAAAAGAAAGAGAAGAAAGGAGAGGAGGGGAGAAGAACTGCTGTAAATAAATCTGACCCTCCCCTTCCTCCACTTAAAATCCTTAAACATCCAACCGTTCATTGATGCCAACATACATTTTTGCCATTTTCCCATACTGCATAGCCCTGATTATTACTCTCTGTATCTTCCATGACTCAAGTAAATGCTAACTGAATTGATAGAATGGCTCCTATTCTCCTTCCTGGTGATATTTTAGTGGTTGACTTATGACCCACTTCCGATCAATGAAATAGGTCAGAAGGTCAGCCAAGGGACTCAGCAGGGCTTGCCTGTCCCCACATTCTTGTCCCTGGAAGCCTTTCTTCTCATTGTTCTCCATCTCCATCTCTAGTTACATTGTTCTACTGAGTCACCCCAAAGTGCCATAAAGTTACTTGCGAGGCTAGATCAGATTGCCATGTATTTTCACTTTGGAACCTTTTTCTTTACTCATCAAATCATCCAAAAATATTAATTATTTAAAATATTAAATGTCCACATTGCCAGTCAATTTACTAAGTGTTGTTCACTGGATGATCAGTGATTAAAACAGGCGAGGCCCTTGCCCTCAACACACATGAGATTACTCAGTGAAATGTCTTTCTTCCCAGTTCTGCTCAATAAGCAATATGAGAGCAGGAATCTGTCTATTCTAGCTAGTTTCCCAGCTTCTGGAATGGTATCTAGTGCATAGTAGACACCAAATAAAAATGTGTTGAATGAATGAGTGAATTAATGAATGAATGAATGCAGAAAGCAGGTACTTAAGGGTCCTTAAACAACTGAGGTATCTCTGACTTGGCCTATGAGTTAAATACTTGCTAAGATAATAAACCAGCCAGTTTGTCTGAAACGGGAATTTTCTAGGACTTGAAACTCCCAGTGCTAAAATCGAGAAAGTCCCAGGCAAACCTAAACAAGTTGGTAACCCTACCCGTGACCCTTCGACCCAAAGAACTTCCTCTGGTTCTTCCTCAGCTCCCACCCTCTTCTACTTACAATTAATCTTCTGAGCTGGTCCTTCCATCCCACCTCTAAAAGAAAGAAATTGTTTCCAGTGCTGCCGCTGCTTCCTAAAATGGTAGGTTCTCAAGCTGTTCTTGATCCTCATTCATCAAGCTGAAGCTCAGAAAACACTCAATGCCAGAACCTAGTTCTAAACTCACGGCTCTGCCAACTTTTTTATCCAACTTTTTCTCACAGACCCACAACTTCCCACCCTGACACTGATCTTCCTTTTCTAATTTGATGCCCCACTGATCTCAATCAGCAGCAATTCAAGCTGTAGATTTTAGCTTCTTTCTTGCTGACACTTGGTTTTTTATTTCCTTGGCACTCAGATCTGCCTGACTTCTGAAGAAGAACAAGACGGCTTTATCAGAGTCCTCAGTGGAAAGAAGAGAGGCCTAGTCCCCCTGGACGTCCTAGAAAACGTCTGAGTGCTGGGCCCTCCTCCTTTTGCAGCAGGCGAGTCCTGCTGTGATGCCTCATCTCACACTGTGTCAACCCCGAGGAGCTGTCGCACTGACCCCGGCCACCCAGAACACAGACAAGACTCAAGCATCTGAGACTGGAGTGACAGCGACAAGACAGGGGGTCCATCACACAGCAAATCCAAGCTGCCTGAGATGGGGATGAGACTGAGAGAGTCACTGGCAGAGCCGAGGACGCTACCTGGTGACAGTAGCAGGGCAGCCACCACAGCTGTTCCTCAGGACTCAACTCCCTGCCTGTCCCTGTGGTCTGAGTTAACCCACTGAAATGTACTCCAGTCTGCGGTGTGGCCCCAGCACGAGGTTCAGATCCATGTAGCCAAGTGTGATTCTGGTTCCAGACCTTTGTCCTCAGTACCAACCAATGATCATCATCACATGAGACTCCAGGCAGTCCCTCCACAGAGCATCAGGAAGTCCTACTTCCCAGCCCCCAGCATTCCGGGCCTCCCTGGGCTGCCCCCTCACTTTGCCACACTTTGTGATTGTGCTGTGTCTTCTGTCCTCCAAGTAAGCCCTAGGGGTGTGCATTACCTGTGAGAGCTCAGCTGATGTGGCACCGACTTCAAAGACCTGATCTGCCCAAAGATGGCTGACATGCAGTCCCCTCAGCTGCTTTAGTGACTGAAATGTGACAGAGCAGGACAGGAGGCACAGATACAAAGGGCAAAGTGGGGACAAGGTAGGACAAAGGACCCTTATTTATTGAAGATTATACAGCCCTTTCAGTAATGAAGTCCTTTCCCCAAGGAGCTGGAGCTGGGGAAGAGAATGTGGCAAAAAGCCTCCAAGAGGAGCTTCACTTTCATCTTATATCTTCTGTGTTAGGGGAAAATTTTCCCATCATGCCATTTGGTAAAGCTCCCTCTTGGAGGCTGAGTCCACCTTACAAAGGGCCAGAAACGTAGAGAAGACCCAACAGCATCTTAGGAGGAAAGTAGCCAAATTGGAACCCACTCTCTTTTAGGGCAGTATGTTATACCCTAGTAGATGTAAAATGGAAAAAGAATCCTTAATGATTCAGCCTCAGAGAGCAGAGAAACATGGAGCCTATTTAGCATCAACTAGAGGAGTCTTGTTACTCTGTACTTGTACTAATGTTTACAAGAATGCAATATACTGTGATGCCTTTCTCCTCCTTCAAACTTGCATCCTGTTCCTCTTTAATATGGTTAAACTTAATTCACAGTGACCTTGGAATCAATGTCAGTTTGATTTATTTTGTTGCAGAGCAATAAAACCATTAGAACAGTTGGTTTTTAAAAGACTTAAAAGAATGCATCCTGTGCATGTCAGCATCACTGGGAAACCAAAGCGTCATTCGTCTCCATTTATTTCTTTGGTTACTGCTCAGCGTGAAGATGGGAGCTGAAATTGGAAGGCTGATGGCTTCTCGGTCGTTTGGATGCCTTATTCTCGTTTTGAAGCCAGCCTCCAGAAGGTCCTCCCTCTCTGATACAACATGCGGAACTGAGTGTTCAGAGACAGATGGATTCTTTGGGAGCCAGGGCGGGTAATACGGCTGCCATCCTGTAAGATGGAATGCTGGGGTACCAATGCTCTTTGCTTCAAATTCAATATTCCATTTAATGAAACTAACACCGTAGCTGGAAGGAGCATAGAAAACATGTGTCCTGATCTCTTCTTTCCCGTGGAATATCCACAGAAACTCTTTGGTAAGGTGGTGTCATATCCTATGCCCACTGAATTTGCACAAAAAAGTCAGTTTGTCTTTTGAAGCTGAATAGAAGGTTGTGACAGCCAGCTTCCCAAGTGGCCCCCCATGACCTCTCTCTCTGGGTATCCTTCCCTTTGTGGAGCCCACTGCCACAGAGAATTGGGGTTGGGCTTGTGTGACCAATAGAATACAGCAGAAGTGACACTGCATGACATCTGAGGCTAGGTCAAAAAGTCCTTGCAGTTTCTGCCTTGATCTCATGGAGCTCTCACCCTGGGAGCCCTGAGCCACTATGTAAATTTGTCTCCTCTGAGGCCACCATGCAGGAGTGGCCCAGTGGACAGACCACACATTTCTGCAGTGAACATCATGGAGGACCAGTCAGCCCTGCTGAGCTTTGCCCAGGTTACAGCTTGATGAGCAAGATAAATATGGTTAGGGTTTACAGAAACAAGGATAAAAGACACATGGACAAAAACTAGGCGGGGTGGAAATGGGAGGGAGGTTGGGAGAGCTGGGTGGGCGGGCTGGGATGGGATGGGAGTAAAAGGAAATTATACTTGAACAACAATTAAAATAAAAAAATAAGATTAATATGCTTAGGTTTTCTAAGTCACTAAGTTTCAGAGTGAGTTTTTAAATACTGAAATAGATAACTGGAACAGGGACTTTGTAGTCTGAGCCAGTGTTGGAAAGGAGGAAACATACACTTTCCGCACCATGAGGCCCAAAAGTTTTTGCCAACGTCAGGTGACCCTCCAAATGCAAGATACCCGGTGTGCCTTAGCGATCTGGCCATCCAGCTACCAAAGGAAAAGGCAGGTGTTCCTCACAGCACAGATTGCCACAGATGATCTCACACACACACACACACACACACACACACACACACACACACAGACCATAGATTCTGGGAGCCAGAATCTACGTTTCTCTCCCGCTTGTCTGCAGAAATAGCGAGAACAAGGACAGCTATGACCGACCAAAATCTTGAAGGTTTCCATGGCCTAAGAAAAAGCTGGCAGAAGGGCCACAGCCTCAGAAGAGGGATGAGATAAAGGCCTCAGAAGACAGACACTGGTGAGGAGACGGGGAGGAGAGGGAAGTGCTAATACGAAGAAGAACAAAGGACTAGGAGAGGGGCTGCTCTCCACAATGTGAGGGAAGGGTCTCGAACCCCCTCACCTCCCACCTCTGCCTCCAGCTGAAGGGTGGCACACACGTACCCAGCCCTGGGGAGCGGTCCCCAACACTGCACCAACGCTGCAGGACATGGATTCAGTCACAGTGAATTTGAAATAAAGAGCTGATTGATCCTTCCCCAGGGCTTCAGAAAGTGAAGAATAGAATTTCTTTCACTACTGTCACTAGCAGACAGAGTCCCCTTTAATGTGGGCAGTGGGGCTACAAAGAGAATCCACATGTGAGTGTTCAGCAGGCTACCAGTAGGGTTGATTGCACAGATCACTGTAAATCCCAAACTCTACACACCAAACACATGCACACGCATGCACTTCCATCAAGAGGAAGAGTCCAGCATCTGGGTTCCATATTTAAAGCAGCTGGTGGGGGTGGGGTGGGGTACATACTAGGAGCTTATTAGAGTTAGTCCTTTTTGCTATTAAAGAGAGAAAAATAAAATCCATGAAGAAGCTCACAACATATGTAAATAGCCAAGTCCTCCTAAAAGAAAAAAGAAACACCGTGAAAGTCCGAGGAGGATAGAGCCAGGAAGGAAACCTACTAGTCCATCCCAACCCACAGCTAGACTCAGACAGCTGTGAAAAAGTATTGTGTGCTCAAATAGAAGCTTAGATTCTGGTAAAGTGAACCAGACTTCTTCCCTCAAGACTTCTCAGAGTCTCTAAAAGGAGATTTAGGATCATGAAACACCTAATGACACCGTCTAGGACATTCCCAGGACAGTCTGGGAAAGGCTACAACACAGGATTCTCACATAATGTTGTATCCACCTGATAGCTCCCTGACAGCCATTCTCTCCTCACACTCACTGAGTTACCTGTGAAATATTAAAAAGGATGGAAGTGTATAATCATAGGAAAAAATGAAGACTAAAAGACAATCTTCCCTGGAATCTGAGATCTGTAGGGAGTAGGAGAAAGTGAGATCTATGTCCCCAAGGGGTGAAACACATGGAAGGGCCAGTAGCTTTGCTGTCCTTTGACCAGCAGGACATAAACTGGTATAAATATGAGAATAAAAGAAACTTCAGCATTGACCAAAATAGCCTCCTCAGGAAACTGAGTGAGCAGGTGTATTCCGCAGATTTACCACAAAACAAACCCTTACAAACAATACAAAGAACTAAATTTAGTTTAATGACACCCTGAAGCTGTCACGTAGATTCTGCTGTGTGTTTTGTACAACACTTGGTGTTTTTCTTTTATTGTTGTTCAAGTACTGTTGTCTTTATTTTCTCCCCACACCTGGTGTTTTTGACCCTTAGAATATTTTTTTTTCTCAGCTTCCTTATTAGGAGTTTTGAATACTTTTTAATCTTTCTGCGGATAGTAGGAACTTTTAACTGTACCCTGAAAATTTAACAAAATAATAGCAATTTATATATTTCCCTTTTAATAAATGAAAAAGTGGCAGGTTTATTTTATCATCATGTCATCAAGTTTAAGCAGCTATTGAATATCTTTATGTCTTCATGGAAGTCAGGATATGCTGAAGTCCTGAAAATACACCCTGGAAAAACCTACTTGCAAGAAAAATGGTAGATCATCTTTCACCTTCCTCCACTGGCCTCATTTACTCAGGTTCTCTGGTTACTCCCCTGCCCCCATTCCCTCTGTGCATGGCAATAGCGTTCTTTGTCCATCTTCTCCTTTCAAACCAGCTTTTTGAAGATGGTGTGTTAACTTCATTTACCTTTGTTCTTTAAGGTAAAAAAAGAATCATCCAAGGTTATGACTTTTCCTGTGAGTGCAGCTTTGACCATTTAAAGTGTTCCCATTTTCTTTCATTTCTAAATACTCCGTAATTACAGTTTCTAATTTTCTCTTAGGTATTTTATTGTGTATATGTGTGTGTTTAAAATCATTACATGTGGTAGTCAGAAAATATGGTTCATATTGGTTTCTGCTTTGAGGAATTGTCATTTTACATTGTGCTCTAATATGAGTAATTCTTATAAATGTCCAATGGATGCTGATAGAAAAGTCATATTGGCTGTGCATAAAGCTCAATATGAAAAAAAAGTTCAATATGTATTTACTAAATAAATGTTTCAAGTGTACTGGTCACCTGTGTTCTAATTTTTTTTTTTTTTTTTTGCTAATGTGCTCTCAAAGGATGTCAAGACCAAGCCACAGTGGGACTGAAATGAGAGGCACCTTATAAGGACCTGCAATTGTTTCTTTAGTAACCAGCTCTTGGAGGAAGGAAATACCAGCCAGTGTTCTCTACCACAGCCTCCCCTTCCTCATTTAGGATGAATCTCTAAGGGCATTTCCTAAGTAAACACACTCTTTTTAATTCCCTGGAGTAAACTGTAAAGAAACCACTTTTAACTGAAGGGATTCCAAAAATATTCTTGGAAACATTCAATATCAGGTCAGGAAACTTTGAGAGAGAAAATATACAATGAAATCAGCAATCACTGGTGGATGGGAACCACATTACAGCTCTAATGGTAAGGGAGAAAAATCCTATAATGAATTGATGAGATGTATTCACACCTAAGAGTCTAAATATGAACATGGTATATCACAAGTCTCTGGTTTCAAGCCATGAACTTTCCTTTGGTCATTACGATGGTTATTATTTTTTCAGTAAGATTAACCAATATTTGTTGGCACTTACAGGGAAAGGCTAATCAAACAAATAATACCAAAAAAATGTATAATTAGTGCCACGATAGAGGAAAAACAGTGAACCACAAGAATATGCTAGAACTATGCTGGTCTCATTAGGAATGGGATCTAAAAAGTTTAAAGCTCTCTTGCCAAAAATGTCCTCACTTTCTAAAAAGGCAATTTCAGGCTGGAAGTAGTCAAAAAGCTTCCCAGCTCTCTCTCTCTCTCTCTCTCTCTCTCTCTCTCTCTCTCTCTCTCTCTCTCTCTCATAACTTACTTAACACTTGAATCTCTTTAGTTTCACTAGAATCTATGGATTATAAGAAAGGCTATTTTGTGGAGATGATGTGGACTTAGATCTCACAGAGGTAAGGCAATTCTTTTCCCTTTTAGCGGAGCTGTTTCCAACAGTGCTCTTCCTTCATGCTGTAGTGTTGAGCATTTGAGCAATGCCAGCAGTATGAGTGGATGACTGGGTGGGGAACAGAGGAGATGGGGAGGAGGGGATGGGGGTGGGTGAGAACATCGGGGCAGGGGAGCATTTTTGCCTACTTCTTTATGCTCTATTTCATTTCAAAGGAGGTTTAGGTTCATATCTCAGTTCCAGAGAAATAGCCCAAGGAGAGTGAGCCACCCAGGTGAGACCTCATTCATCCCACATCAACCCTGACACTTGGGATACCCCCCAAAAATAATTCATAGATCAATGAAAGTTAAAACATCAACAGAATGTAAACAAATACACAGACTTCTTCACAACAGGGATAACAATGGTCTTAAAATATCACAAACATCCTGTGATTTGGGTCAGATTCCCATCACACTCACAACAAACCTCACAAGAGCCTTTCTCTCTAGAGAAGTCAGAAAAATAAAAGTGCCTATCCCGAGGGAGGCAAAAGTTGCTTTCCCCCTTTGAATCTTGGAGACAAAAGTTCAAATCTTAAATATTCAGAAATCAGTTTCATAGAATTCAT